GGGGGGCGGGGGGATGCCAGCCAGGGGGGCTTCTCCCACGGCTCCTCTGGCTGTACCTACCTCTGCCCCAGTGCAGGGAGCCACAGGAGAAGTTCCCGTGGCTGCCCTGCCTGGCCCCATCCCCCACCCAGCACCAGCCTTCCAGCACTTTAAAAGGAGGGCTGCTCTTCCCAGGGGCGCTTCTGAAACCTCCAAAACATTTCCAAAAAGTTTTGGATGGTTCTGTTTCGTTTCGGAGATGTTTCTGAGCCTTCCGTTTCATTTTGGATTCGGTGTTTTGGGTGCTGAAATGGGCTGAAACACCTTCAAAACAAAACGGCTGCCAAAATTTCTCACAGCCCTAGTAATCGGCATACCTTTCACTATAGCCTATTCATCTGGTTGTGTTGTGTTACCAAACTAGTTGAGACCCATATGCCTTAGGTTTATGCTGTGGTGAAGATCACTTATGCTTTTTCCAAGTTCTTAATGTGAAGCTGTCAATACGGAGCGTTAGCTAAACTTTAATAATACCATCAGGTTTCTTTGTATAGGCTCAGTTTTGTTCCATGGCAACTTAAATTTCCCTGAGTCTTCAAGTGACACTGAACAAAGCCATATGTTAGATTTTCACATTGCTTATGCATTTTTATTTATACATACAACATCTATTTATAATGTATACAAATAAGGTTTAGATATATAAAATATGCAAAGTTGTTTTTGTTTTTATTTTTAGAAAAATATTCTGGAAAGGTAGTCTCTAATCCTATAATGCTGACCTAATACTGATTCTGAATTCTCCTCCAGGTGCCCAGATTATTGATTTGATGATGCTTGTAATAGATGTGACAAAAGGGATGCAGACTCAGTCAGCAGAGTGCTTGGTGATTGGACAAATTGCTTGCCAGAAGATGGTAGTAGTTCTGAACAAAATAGATCTCCTTCCAGAGAGGAAGAGACAGGCTGCCATTGAGAAGATGACCAAGAAAATGCAAAAGACCTTGGAAAATACAAAGTAAGTTACCAGATATGTACTTTCATTGTAACAGTTGTTATGCTATGCTTGCTTACCCCTTAACAAACACTCCCAAAGTCTTCAGGGCTGGTCTTTATTAGACTGGACACAGGCACAAAGAGATCATTCACATGGATGACTAGAAAGAGGTTGAGATATTACAAAAATACAAATACAGCCTTAAATTTTGACCCACGTAAGATTCGCTTGAGTGATTGTTTTTTTGATGCCTAACTTAAGATGCCTCCATAGATGCATGTTTTTAAGGAGTAGGCATGTGGCTGTCTAGCACTGACCACAGCCAGTTAACAAGTTTTAAATACTCCAATCTTTGTCTACATTAGGTACTAACTGATGTTAAAAATATTATTTGTGTGGTAGCCCAGGGGTGGACAAGCTGTTGGTGTTATGGGCAGCCTCTAAGTGTGGCAAGCAGCAGATTTGAGGAGGGGAGAGGCAGCACAGTGGGCAGGTCAGGCAGGGAGCAGAAAACAGAACAGCACTCGGAAGGTATGGGGCTAATCTGTGGTGTGCCTGCCAGAAAGGTTAGCCACCACTGTGTTAGCTAATGCATTTAGTAAATGCAGCTCACTTCCTTAGTATATGTGAGGCCTTTTGCATTCTACGCTGAATGATGTTGTTACATTTTCCAGCTTTCATTGTAGCCGTTAAGGAACTCAAGGTAGCTTCTTTTTTTTCTTTTTTAAGTGTAATGTTATATGATACAAATTACTAAAAAATAAGTTTAGTTAATTGTTTTATATTAATTCAGCTCGTATCAAATAAATTCATAGTCCTCTGTAAGAGGAGACTTTTTCTTTAGCTTATGGGTTTATCACTGACTGCCATATGGAAGCCTTGTCAGCTGCAGAGAATGGGAAAAGAATAGAACGATGGACATCATATAAGGGAGAATATGGGATTTCTGTTTGGAAATTGTATTTGAAATTGGGGTGGTCCTTCTGGTACAATAAAAATAATCTGTTGAATTAAGTAATGCCTATAAGTGGAAAGAGACCCTTATATATGAATGTAATTTTTCTGTGAGGCCAGAAGATATTTTATAGGGAGAGAAGCTGAAGCACAAATGGGTGAAGCATTTTGCCCAAGGTCGTGCTGCAGAAGGAACTCTGATTCATAGTTATCCAACTGGTAAATCAAGGCTTGTTTTGCAAGAGTGCCAAGTAGGATCACAAGTAGATTGGGCATATGAAAGTGAGGTTTTTCATCGTGCAAGAGGAGCAAGGATAGCTCTGTTGCATAAAGCACCTCATGTTTAACTTATTTTGATGGCAGGATGGTGTCCTTGTTCAGCTAAACAATCTAGAAATCTTACTGTGTTTTATCAGCTTCTCTATTCTTCTGTGGCTTGTTTCCTTTTGATCAGTACAGCATAGAGGTCACTGCCAGAGGAGGCAAACTTCTTACTGTGTACTTAGTGGAGAGACAAAATTCTACAACTTTCAACTCTCCTTCATGGTTGCTGATTGAGGGCAAACAAATATAAAGCCACTTTTTTTCCCCTGTCATGTAGGATGATAAACTCCTGCCCCACTTCTTTTAACAGACACCTGCAGCTTGATCTGAGAACACTTAAATGCTTTAAATTCCTGTGTCCCTGCCTGGGGGGGGTTCATAGTTCTACCTTTGCTTCTTCCATTTGCAGTTAATGCAGTGAGACTGCGAAACTGAGGAACAACCTTAATGTGAAGTTAAAATTTTTACCTCGTGGTTTTCCTATCATTATGTTTTATTAATTACTGCTAAGGTTGTACATATATTATCCTTAAACAGAAATGAAAATTATATTTCAATTTTTGCTTATTTCACTCATTTCTGAAAATAAATTTATACTCAGTGCAGATCAGTAAAATTTGAGAAATTAATGGTTTTTATTAATTTGGCTTTTATCTTCGCAAGCTAATGAAATGCTAGCAAAGTGACATAATAAACCTTTATTTTATTCAGTCTGAACTAAAGTGGGGTTACTGCTGCCTTAGTGGTTGCAGATTAAGTCCAAGAGTTTAAGGCAAATACAGGGAAGATGACCTTTCTAGTGACATGTTATAAAATGAGGGTGTCAAACTCCGTCTGGCTCCAGAGGCTGGGTGAGTGTTACTGGGCTGGTTTGTGGCCTGGACTGAGATGATACCCCATGCAGCATTTGCAGTGTTGGGTTCAGAACTGCATGCCACGCACGGCACGTGCTGGCCTAAGGGCTTGCTGTGCACGTGGCATGCAGGGCCAACCTGGGGCATATTTTGCTCTCTGTGTAGGCTGGACCTGGTGCTGCAGGCAGGACAAGGGGTTGGTCCAGGGCACTGCATGCAGCCCAGACCTTGAACCCCATATGCCGTGTGCAGCACTCTGTCTAGTAGGGGTGTGCGAAGCAGGCCCTATTCGATTCGGATTTGGCCCGAATCAGGGACAGTGATTCGATTAATTGATTCAGATCACTGTCCCTGATTCGATTCAGCCAAATCCGAAACTGAATATTTGATGCTGATTTGGACATAAACACAGCTTTAAAAGTTTTTTCTACATACATTGAGGCATGGTTCAGGATTGCTGCGATGCTGGGGTGCATGGAGCTTCCCACAGGAGTGTGGGGGGGCCCTCCACATGCTCGGCAGTGAACCCGGAAGTGGACAGGACGTACTTCCTGGTCTGCTGGGGAGTGTGCTGGGGGGCCATGGGGGGATCACGGGTGCCCCCCACCCACCCAGGAGGCACCAGTCACCGAGCCGGAGGGCCATGGGTGGGGGGGCCAGCACGCTTCCCGGTGGACTGGGAAGTGGACCAGGAGTGCTTCTAGTCCACTTCCAAGTCTGCTGCCAAGCGCGCTTGGGAGCCCCTCACGCTTCTGAGGGACACTCTATGCACCCCAGCATCACAGTATTCACAAGCCCCAGCTACCTAGAGGTATGTAGCAAAAACATTCAAAGCTGCATCTATGTCCAAATTGCCAAATCTCTCTGAATTGATTTGGAGCATTATGATTTGATTCAGAGAGATTAAAAGGTTCTCTGATTCGATTCTGATTCAGAGATTTGGCCACCAAATCAGGCTGAATCTCCACCGAATCAAACCAGGGACCAAAGCTTTGCACAGCCCTACTGTCTTGCCTGTGTGTGCCCCATGCTGGCTGCACATGCACAGCGAGCCCCAGAGCCAGTGTGTGGTTCTGGACTGGCTGCATTTGCTGCACACAACACAGGGGATCAGTCTGGGATGCATGCTGCATGTTGTGTTCTGCTGGCTCTGCACTGCAGTTCAGGTATAGCCCCAGAGCTAGCACATACAGGCCAAGTACAGACAGTCAAAAAGCCAGAGTCTGAATTGATTCAGTCATTGCAGGTAGTCTAAGCTGCAGAGATTGAACTGATTAGCAAATGAATGCACATTCATTTTTGATTCAGAAGTTGGAGGGGGGGCAGTGACATGCTGGTGCCTTGCCCCTGCCCATTCTGTTGCCCCTCACTGACAAGCCACATCCCACCCCCAGCCCTGCTGCTGCCCCTCACTCCCTGCCCACAGCCCCTGCCAGCCCTGCTAGTGCCCCTTACTCCAGACCCGCAGCCCCTGCCCCCCAGCCTTGCCAGTGCCCCTCATTCTCAACCTGCTACCCAGGCCAAGCAGCTCTTGCATTGTGCACTCGCTCTCTCTTTCTCTATCTCTTGCATGCGTGCCAGAGCCGATGCAGGGAGCAGATGCCCCCGACAGCCAATCGGCTTGCCTGCTGCTCTCATCCCGGAGCAGCCAGACCTGGACAGCAGAAAATCTGGACATTTCCTCTTATTTTAAAAACCCACCCAGATGCAACACAGGGGCCCAAAAAAGAGGACATGTCCAGGAAAATCCAGACATATGGTAACCCTAGCCTGTAGTGGCTCAAGATAGAAGCATGCTTGCCAGCCACTGCCAAAGGGGAGGGAAAAGAGAAAGCCCTCCAAGACTTTCCTCCCCTCCCTGCTGGCATGGCAGGGGCATGGCCAGGCTCTGTTGGGGTGGGGGTGGGGAGTGGCATCAAATTCATAAAACTTGAACAAGAATGGTTCTTTGTAAAACTATAAACTAAGTAGCTATAAACACAGCATGGGCTGTGTGTTCACTTCCTCTTCCTGCTGCCCCTGAGGTCTCTGGGATTTGCAGTTCAGAATCAGAACAAGCAGGACTGTGCAGTCACTACTTCTTCCTGCTTCCAGGTGTCTCTGAGATTTGTAGTCTGCAGTATCAGCCAGCAGGAAGTAAGCTGGCAGGGCAGCTCTGTACTTGGGAGAAAGCAAGTTTAACCCCTCCCCCCCGCCCTGGGCCCAGAGCCCAGCCAAGGTTTGCCTGGGGGGCTGGGGTGGGAGACAGTGAGCCAGCCCTCACTGCTCCAGCTAGGGAGCAGAGGGGCAGGGCCAGCCCTGCTCTCTGGAGCAGACAGCCCAGCCCAGCCCAGCCCAGCCCAGCCCAAGGCTGAAAAGCATGCCAGGGGACTCTGATTTAACTAAAAACAGGAAGGGGTTTGGGACAGAAGTTTAATAAACCGGTTTGACCTAAATCAGTTAAGTCTGATACTACATTCAATCAGGTTTATCCAGTTTCAGCCATTTTGAAACTGGTTTATGTGCACTGAACTTCTGTTCTGTTACAGGTTTAAACCAGTTTCTGATCACTTAAACTGGTTTATGTGTAATTTCTGTCCCTAGCTACAGTGTGTGTCGAGGGGGAAAGGGGGGAGGCACGGCTTGTGCCTGAGGTCAGTCCAGTGACCTATGGACTGGTTCATATGGCTCCATAGGTCCTATGTTTGACACTCCTGTTATAAAACATTCAACCACCTAACCATGAAAAGGTTGGTTATGGTCAGATCTGTATTCATAAATCTGAATTCATAAATTTGGAAGGAAACCAGAATCTTTTCACAGGTGCTTCCTCACCCTAAATTCACATGCTGTTTTAACTCACTCTTTTCTTGATAGCCTGGGAACACATATAACCCTTTAAAACCCTTTTAGTGTACCATGGGAGTCAGCCAGCTATGTCAAACTGAGAGAGCAGTGGGTTCTAGTTATGATGACATCCTCACTGCAAATGTCCAGGTTGCAGCCCCCTGCTGTTTTAAAGCAGCATCCTCTCAGTTCTAATGCACCAGCTGATTTCAACAGCTGTGGTTCCACCTGCCAAGAGGTGGTCTGTCTTAATATTTCTAAAGGAAGCTGTTTGAACTGTGACTTCCAGAATGGCCATTTACCAGATGTGTCTGTGTATTGCCTACCTGCAGAAAAAAATGTATATTTGGATGTCTGTGCTGTGCTTTATGAAGTTGTAAAAACTATCGCTGTCCTAGGGTTGACCTAAAGTACCAGCCCCACTGTAACGCAGACATACTTTCTGTCTTGACAGCTTCTTTCCTACTCTCAACTCTGAATGATGAAGCAGAGGTGATTGAAGCTAGTTTTGCATTTCCAAGCTACTTTTATATATGAGGAACCTGGTAAAACCATTTGGCAGTTTGCCTTAAGCCTCACATGCTTGTGCATGGTCGTGGGGGAAAGTGAAGGATTTTGGGCCCTTTCCATGCTAAGGCTGGAAACCTGTTACAGCAAATTAAAAATGCATTTGCTAGCATGGTTACATCTCCAGTTGCAGGGTGGACAGAGCCTTAGACCTGGGCAGCATTTACAGCTACTGTCAGGCAACTTTACAGGAATCCAGGTTCCTTGGTCAACTAGCCTTTATTTTTGTCTGGCAGAGGTTGATGTAGTTTGTAGTAAGTCATATGTTTAGAGAAGCAGCTGGCAACCTTTCAGAACCACAGGCTGGAACAAGCTGGCTCAGCTCTGAGGTGGGTCAGCGTTCTGATCCAGCTGTGCTTTCTCTCCACTCCTCAGCAGCCTCTAGCCCTGGTGCAGCTCGATGCCATCTGGCGCTAGCACAGGTGAAGCCCCCCACTCTGCCAGAACACTGCTGAAGTCCCCCCTGCTCCCCTTTGGCAGTCTGCAATCCAGATTTGGCCATATGTTGCTGACCACTGTGTCAGAGGAAGGCAGTTACATCTGGGCCTCATTGTACTCAAACACTTCCAAAAGTAGCACATGTCACCTCTAGCTTGTCAGTTATATGGGAGACCTGGGAAGGCGAGGTGACACCTGTTTCAGTATTGTTTATTCGTTAAAATGTGTTGCCCCAAAACGTTGGGAAATTCAGTTATTTTTATCCAAAAGCTAGAATTCTCACTGCATGTCTTTCTCATCCGTGTCTATGGAAGACTCAGCTTTATGGCACATGAGCAAAAAAATGCTATTTATATTGGATTACTGTTTGACCATTACATGACTTTCCTTTACAGAAGTTATCATTCTCTCTTTATCAATGCACTATTTTCTCTAGTTCTTGCCCTTTTGAGATTGAAAATCTAAAAATTAGTTAGAAGACAGTAGGGAGAGGGGTAAAAATCACTGACTTTTGGCCCATGTATATAGTAAATTGAATACTTAGAAAACTGAGCACCTAAATGTTTTTTTCTCTCTCCTGCTTTTATTGTCATGTTTTGCTAACCATTGTGATGCTGGAGGGTGTGGGTTGTTTGTTTTAGAGACTCTAGTTTCTTTTTAAAAGTTTGAAAGAGTAGTCATAAGTGAGTTGTTAGCTCAGAAAGCCAATCATTTGCATCTCACAAAGCATAGCATTCAAAATTAGGTAATGATTGAAAGACTTCTCTATAATAGAGGGCTGAAGAATATAATTGGTCCAAAGGAAGCATTACATTGAGGGGGTGAATTGGGAAGTAAGCTCAAAATTTTGCCTACTTCAGTTAGCAAAAGATGTTCATTAGATGGATATTATCAACATTTGGAGTCAGAGTTCATATTCCCTGATATGAGAAAAAGCAGAGCTCACTTAAGATTTCAGGCTGTCTACACACTCAGACAGGCATCGCTTCACTTCACTGTCCTAACTCTGCTTCACATTTTGAAGCTTCTTCTTGCAACCATGTCATTGAGGAGGGTTGTTTTTTCAATGAAAGTTTAGAATCCAGAGCACAATATGCCAGTCTCCAGGAAGAAAAGGGGCTAACTCACGTAGCCATCACAGAGCAGCCCAATTTGGCTCCTGCTTAAAACTGATTTAACAGAAATCTTACTCTTTACTGCCTAACCAAATAAGACAGTTAGACAATAAGTTTTAAAGCTTTAGTAAATTCAAAGGCATCAATAATACAGTCCCAGAAGAAAATGCCTGTAATTAACTATCGTTGAACTAGATAAATCAATAGCCAGGGCAATTTCCTCATCTCTTTTGACAGATGAAGCTTTTGTTATTTTCCCTTTCTTGCATGTGCAAGGGACTTGAAGTCTCATGATGGGATTCTTTTTCTCTTTCAGGTTCCATGGGTGTCCTATTGTTGCGGTGGCAGCTAAACCTGGTGGACCAGAAGCCCCAGAGACTGTGAATCCACTAGGTGTTTCTGAATTAATTGAGGTACATGCCATAAAAAAGAAGGGCATTGTAGTATACTTCTTGAAGTCTGTTAGTGTTTACTGTAATACCATTTAATACTAATGTACTCATGTATTCATGTGGGAGTTTGAAGGAATCCCATTCTGTGCCTCACATTCTCTTGGAATCCATTCTAATTAAATGGACAAGTCAGGGCTCTGAGGCCTCAGAATTGACTTGTACCAAGCTCTGTTTTAGTGCTTATGAACAGCCACTTGCTAACAAGCAACCACTGAACAAGTACCTGGGTTATTATAATAAATTAAATTAAATTAAATTAAAACATTTGCTAGATCCATGGAAACTGTCTTTTTATAAATTCCTAAAAAGTTAAATTTAAAAGATCATGATGTTGTCAAGTCAAGCATTTAAAAATCAGAAAGTCTGGGCAGCTTAGTTTAGCCTCCTCTAGCACATGTATTATGAAGCAGTTTTCAGTTATACAATCACATGCTGTTTTTTTCCAAAAGTCTCTGTCTCACTAAGTGCAGAGGATGCATGGTACCTAGTTAATGAGAAGCTAGTCATTGTTTGTTTTAGTCTCATTATTCATTTGGGTCCCCTTGCTTTATTTACCTCATGCTATTTAAAGTCAGTTCAGACAATGATTTGTGTCTGACTTCTTTATGGAACTCATCATTATTGCATCTTGAGGGTTAACTGTTGTTGGAAGCTCATTTTAAGCTGCTTGGTATCTGATTTTTCAATAGGAAGGCAGGGTAGATTTGCACCTTATAGACTAACCATAGTAGATAGTGATATACAGCAAAAGCTGTGTTAACCGGCACTGTATTAGCTGGAAAACTCTATTAACCGGCATCCGAGGGACCCAGCAAAAGCAAAACCAGAAGTACCACTTTTGGGTTTCACCGCTGCGAGCAGAGTTTTTCTTTGCCATTTCTTCAGCCCATGGCCCAGGGCAAAGTAGCCTGCGCAGGGCCCTCCTCCCTGTCCCCCAGCACACTGACGCCGGGGAGTGCACCAGAGGGTGCACATTTGATTAACCAGAATATTTGATTAAGCGGCATCTCCCATTCCCAGGGGATGCCAGATAACGGAGCTTTTACTGTATATAGCTCAAGCTTTTGTGAACCGAAGCTCCGCTGGGGTCATGCAATGCCTCCAGTTGAAACTGTGAATGCTCGCCACCTCTGCTAATCACACCACAGGATATCTATCTGGGCACTCTGAAAGTCAGGAATAGTCAGGGATTGTCTGAAAAGTTTGCCTTAGGTGACTTGTCTAGTAGGGGTGTGCGAAACAGGCCGTGTTCAATTCGGATTTGGATTTGGCCTGAATCAGGGACAGTGATTCGATCTGTTGGTTCGGATGACTGTCCCCGATTTGATTCAGCAGAATCTGAAGATCCAATGCTGATTCGGAGAGTCAGCAATTTGGCCATAGACACAGCTTTAAATGTTTTCTCTACATACCTTGAGGTACCAGGCATGGCTCATGAACGTGCGATGCTGGGGCGGATGGAGCGACCCACAGGAGTGCGGGGGGGCCCCCGCGTGCTCGGTGGTGGACCCGAAGTGGACTGGATTTACTTCTGGTCCACTTGTGAGCCTGCTGGGGAGCATGCTGGGGGGCCCCTCCACACCCCCTCTGGCTTGGCAATTGGCTGTGTGGGGACCCCAGGTGCCCCCCCAGACCCAGGAGCCACCAGTCACCGAGTTGGGGGCGGGCCCCTAGCGTGCTCCCCAGTGGACCCAGAAGTGGACCGGAAGTACTTCTGGTCCACTTCCGGGTCGCTGGTGAGCACGTTGGGGACCCCCCCCGTGTTCCCGTGGGATGTTTCATCCGCCCCAGCATCGCAGCGTTCATGAACCACCTGGTACCTCGAGGCATGTTAAAAAAAACAAACAAACCCCACAAACAAGCCCCCCCTCCCACTCCTTCCCAAAAATTTTAAGCTGTGTCTATGTCCAAATTGCTGAATGTTTCTGGATCAGTGGGTTTTGATTTGATTCGGAGAGAGTAAAGGGTCTCCTGATTTAGATTTGTTTTCGGAGATTCAGCCACTGAATCGGGTCGAATCTCCACCAGATCGAATCAGGGTCTGAAGCTTCGCACAGCTCTGTTGTCTAGCAGCACTTAGTTACACTGTGGCAAAAGCCGAGATAGAATCAAGTTTCTTTTGGGGAGCATTTAACTGATTTGACCATGTTCTCTTGTGTAATCATCTACCTCATTCATTACACAACTTCCCCTCCCTGCATAAAATGAAGGAGACTCCTGCAGACAATTCTGCTTTGCTGCACAGCTGTGATATATTCCTAGGATAGATCCTTCCTGGCAAAAATTGTGCAGAAGAGCAAAAGGTGTATTCCTGACAGACAAGCCACTTCCATAGTGTTAAAAAGGTTGTTGGCAAAGGACACACCCACATTACAAACCAAACTGCATTATTTGGGCATAACTGCTGCTCGAGGAAGTCCTACTAGTATTGGAAGAGCAGGCAAGTGCTGTTCCAGTTATTGGCCTATCCTCCATCCTTTCACATGAGCAACTCAGTCATGACTGGCCATCCCTGTCTTTGTAGCCTTTTATAAGCAGGTACTAACAGCAGTTCCTGTGATGGGGACAAGGATCAAAGAATTCTTTTCTCTTTGGACTTGAGACAAGATTTGAACTAGTTCACCTGAACTAATATTAGCTAGGTGGCCACAGGCAACAATAATTAATGTCTTCTCTCCTTTCTGATATATGTTTTAACAACTATTTTGCTTGTTTGCAATGCAGTGAAATTTGAGTCATGGTAAAATCTTAACCGGATCTGGATGAAGATGTTACTTTTGAGAGAGAGCTATTTTTATCCTTTAAAAAATGTTAATGTAAATCTTAAAGTCTGATTTGAAATCTTGCCTTTTGGCAGTTTGATATTTCTTCCAGGATAGAAACAGGGATGGGTTTTCTTGAGCATTTAAAAATCTTTCAAGAAGTCACTGTTCTTGAAATCAGAGAAGCGAGAATAGTAAAGTGCAGCATAAAATTGCACTGTTTTGTTTTTTTAGTGTAGGAGAGCAAGATTTTTTTTATTCATCCTGTCTTGCTTCACTGTTTATACTGAGTTTGCAGCAATTTTATCTCAACCCAGTTTTGCTAACCAAGCTGAATGTGCAGCCCAAAATCTTTCTAAGGCAGAAAATCAAGCTCATCCTGCTGCAAAGTGTACCTCTCCTCTATAATGTGCCCAGTTAATTTGACATTGGTCCGTTCCAAGCTTGTCTGAGGACTCCTTAAATCAGTAAAACTGTAAGCTAGTTGAATCTATCCTTGGCCTTCCACTCTTTCATTCCTGTCATGACATTTCACCTATACATGGTGCTGCTTTTGTCTGTCTTTCAGGTCCTGAAGTCTCAGGCTTACCTGCCATCAAGAGATCCCTCTGGACCCTTCCTTATGGCAGTTGATCACTGTTTCTCTATCAAGGGTCAAGGCACAGTGATGACAGGGACTATTCTCACTGGCTGTGTTAGCCTAGGTGATAATGTGGAGATTCCCGCCCTGAAGGTGAGTGTCTCATTTCCACCCTTCCCATCCCCCAGTTCCACAACAGAGAGGGGGATGGACGGACGACTCTCAATAAGGAAAAAACATACCCTTTTCTCTTTAATTTGTCCTTTTATTTCCTAAGTTTCCTCTTTACATGTTGCTTGGGAACAGCCCAGCCTGAACAGGCAAATATGTTGGAAACAGAATTAATCATTTTGTGAAAGCAGTGCAACTTGTAACATGGTGTTGTCAAAAGCCTTGTTGTTTCACTTGTAAGGGAAAAGGAAAGCCAAAGGCAAGATTTAAATTTTGAGGTTTGGGAAAGAGAAGAGCATATTTAATAATACAGGGCAGCCCAAAAAAGTCAAACCTCCACACTCGCATGACACTAAGTTTAAGTAGGTAGAATGGGACTGAGAAGGCTGAGGTTATTGCACATTAGCTGTACAACCTCAGGGAGGCGAAGGGAGTGCACTTGAATCTGTATCCTAAGGTAGGAGTGCCTGAAGATCCAGCAGTATGCTCTGGACTTGAGTGTATTCAGGGTAATTGGGTACTGTAGAAATTAAGTGCTTTTTATAATAATTTGAGTTGACAGTTTGTTTCTTTCCTGCAAATTATTGTTCTGATAGCAGAATTAAATAACAGAGGTACACGTGTATAATATAGTCAGTAGCATAAAGCAAAATTATAGGAAGGGAGAGGGGGAGCTGAGCGACTAGTAGGGGCATGATAACTCCTTATATAAATTTCTTCACATTCAGAAATGAATTGTCCTTCCTTAGTGACCCTCTCATATGAACTATTTCAATGTCCGTTTTTCACTTGCAAAGAAAAAGTATGTAGCTGACCGTTAGCTGGAAGTGAATGCTGGACAGTATATTTTCAGAAGATTTATTCTTTTTACAATAGTGATAGAACAGTGTGTGCGGGCCGGGAGTGACCCGGGCCCCTTTTCGCGCTGCACACGGGCTGTGGCCAGCAGCCCGGGCACGCGGGGGCGGAGAGGGAAGGCCTTCGAGCTGGAATTAGGCACAGAGGCCTATCGGTAGTTTTAAAGATTGTTTACTTACACCGAGATGGCAGTGGTGCAGGCTGGAAAACTTGCTTAAGTTGCGGTTACAGACAGGAAAGAAGAGAGGCGGACAAGAGTTCTAGACTCGTGAACTCTAGCCCAATCTGGCTGAAGGCTCTGAACACGCGAGCCCGTCGTGTCAACCGAAGAAAATACTCGTCCGAAAGAGCTCTGAATAAACTCACACGAAGTTTGCTAGGCTCCGTGGGTCCGGTTCTTTTGCGCGCAGGAAGGGATACATCTAGGAATCTATCGGCGACGGGGAGAGGCTAGAGGCTGATCAGACCTCTGTTGCCTGCTTGAAATGCACTGGGTCCGTAAGGATCCGCAGCGCTTAGAGATCTTCACACAGCGTGAAGTCTCCTCCTCCCGGTGTTCGTGGAGTCCTCCAACTTGGGCGGAAACCACTCAAGCCTCTTATACGGCTAGCAAGCCAATCACTAGCCGCCACGTGTGAATAATTTAGAACTGGCCAATAATGGGACTTGAATTAGGATACAAATGGCGGGAACTCTTTGCAACGAGCATCTCTGTGCTGCAACAAAGAAATGGACCCTGCAAAGAAAGCTTCAAATTGGCGGGAAATTCTCCCTTGCACCGGGGTTCTCTTTTGCAGCAGAAAACTCCACCGTGCAAGGAAGCGATAATTTAGCGGGGACAATTTAGCAGTGCCGAAGCACACAAAAACAAAAATCACACCCTTTGGGTTGTGACACAGTGTACAATTCAGACTTCACAACTGAATATGAACTGCTATATCTGAAAGAAATTGCATTTTGGATGATCTCTAATCCAAAAATTTATTGGCTCCAGAAAAATGAGAATAATTCTGGATAAATACATTTGAGAATTCCATCATGTGATTTTGGACAATATGTAAAATACCCAAAATACAAAATGCATTGAATAATTTGAACATTATTTTATCATCTTTATTTGGAGAGGTAGGTAATAGGAAAGTTTTTAATGAGATTTTGGGGTCATAGGCAGAAAGAGGGTGTCAGAGGAAATAGAGGAGGAGAGTGGCTCTTGAACCAACAGGGTGAGACACTGGGGAGAAATGAAATGGGCGAAGCTCTGGATGAGTAGTGGGGGGAGGCAGAAGACAAACCACTTTGCATTTAGCAATGTGAAGCAGCTGACTAGGGTTAATTAATCTTTGTACTAGCTTGCATCAGTAACGCTCCATGGAGGCAAAGCATGACTTTCCTCTGTCTTGTCCGGTGATTGTCACAGTTACTACTCTGCTGATACTACCCTCAGGAGGTGCTGGTGTTGAGTGTTGGTATTCATTCCCATTTTACAGATAAGGGAGCTGAGGCACAGAGAAAGGAAATCTGTGTGTACTGCACTTATTCACTCTTGCTTGCCCATGTCAGACTGGGCTAGGATACCTATAAAAGGTCAAACCTTTCTCAGGCCTACAAGGTAATAGAGGAAGCACATTTCACAACACACTGAGGTTTGTGACTCTTACTGACCTTTATTTGCCCTGACCCTATGGTAACTGAGATTGACAGCCGGTGCCCACTGGGCATATAGGGACATTGCAAACCAGCTGCTTTTTAAATTTAAGGAACCCTCTCACCAAATAAAGTGGCATCACTCCAGTTCTACTAATGGACTTCGACATCTCTGACCGCTTGAACCTGCACAAAGGAGGGACACAGCAATTAAAAATAAACAGTGACATTCTCAAACGCCCAAGCTTGCTCTGATTGAGGCCAAGCGCACCAGCAGTGCATGGATTCCTTTACGCTCTTGCCTATGTAAATTGCCATCTGGGGTTGATTATCTGTACGGCAAAGAGAAAAATTGTGTGCGTGTGTGTGTGTGTGTGTGTGTTTGGCAAAAAGCTTTAACACAGCAAACAGTTCTCCAGCCAGACAATTTAGTACCATTTGTTCGATAACACTTGAAATCCACCTTGAAGAGCATGAACTTAGGATTTCTGCCATGAAAACATAACATCGGCAGAATTCTCATGGTCCCTTGGGATGACTCCACTGGTGGTTAGATCACCACCCTCTTGTGGTTTCTTAACTAGAGCAGTTTACGGGATGTGACATTTCTGCTCCTATCCTAACGAGAAAAAACTCCTCCAAATTTTAGGGGCTGAGGTTTTTATTTGCAATATCCATTCACTTCAGGAGGATGATTACTTAGTAAAATAAAACGTTGAACATATTGTTTAAGTATACTATAAGGATTTGCCTGAAGCCAAAAAGGGCCATTAAAAATCCCTGTGTCACTTTGTAAAAGCACTTTACAATTTATTAATTGGAAAGAGCATGGTTATCATGGACTTCATTACCTATCTAGGAAAACTGAGGGATGGATTATTGTTCTTTGTGTGGAGCCAGAGTAAGTAGTGGACCCAACAAAGAATCCAGGTCTCCTGATTCTCATTTGTGGATTTTGGACCAAAGTTGTTTCCAGTATCATTAGTACTTATGTTATGTATTTACTTGTACCATCTCTTCCATTTTGCCCTCCTCAGTAGCAAGAGCTGAATAATATATATTTCATTACAACCTTTTCAGTACTGGCACCAATAACTGAATATGCCACTTTAATAGTATCATTCAGTCCCTTCCCCTATAGACTCTCATGCTGTTTATCTCTTTATTTGGTACTGGTGCCTTCACTGGTTCTGTCAGTATGAAGGTCTTGTCTCACTAGAGGAAACTCCTCAGTGGCTTCAGCCTCTCATTTGACACTTACCTCTTCCATATTGTAGGAACTGAAAATATTGCCCACAGCAGTAAAAAGTTAACACCTTGAGGGACAACCAGGTTATGGTCCCTCCCTGCTGTCTGCATAGGTGAGACAGGGCAATCCCTGCATAGAAGAATGAATGGATGTTGATTCAGCACAAATTCCGGAAATGGACACAGTCCTGGGCAGAACACTTTAGTCTCCTTGGATGTTCCTTCACTGAACTTGGAGCAGCTGTCCTTAAATGACAAGAACTTTAAAAACCCACCTGAAGGCAAAATTGCAAAACAAGACATCCTCTACAGGCTGGATTGCATTAATCATAGTCTCAACAGGTACTATACTTATCCATTACTATTTGTTAACTCCAGTGTCCCTCAAGGTAACTGTTTTGTTCTTCTCAGTTCTTCTCTTCCTATCAACTCACTCTTTACCTCTTTTAGCAGCATCCACTCCCCCTGTCCTTTCCCCTTCTGTATAACACCCTCTCTTTCTGCCAGCCCTTTCATAGTGTCTGACAAAGTAGGTTGTTGCCTCTAAGAGCTCACGCATCTCCAAGTTCATTTCCAAGGCCCTTTCCCTTTGGCAGGAAGGTCATTCTCAGCATGAAGTTTGCAGATGAGGACTTTTATTAGACCAACCCAAATGGTTGGAGAATAGTTATTAAGCAAGCTTTTGGGTTCAAAAACCTTTGAACCTGAAAGGTTGCTTAATAACTTTTCTCCAACCATTTGGGTTGGTCTAATAAAAGATATCAAATTCACCCAAGGAACCTTGTCTGCCTATATCCTTAGACCAACATGGCTACAACCTAAACCCCTGCAGATGAGGACTTTGCATTTAACTGGCACTGGTAGCAAATTTTGATATACAGACTGCTGCAACTGTGCAAAGCTTTATCAATAAGGTGCCAGTGCACTACAGAGACTAAATTGAACTATGTTGGCTAAAGGCAAGTTGTTTTCCAAAGCTTTCTTAGGCAGCTCTGAGTGCTACTGAAACCATTTCCAGGGTCATCACCATTTACCACTGCAGTAACTGATGTTTTTCAGGGTATGTAACGCTGTGTACACACT